ACTATGTGTGACTTACAATCTCATATGTTTTAAAAAATGCAGACTACAAAACTTTGATATTGAATGAAGCATCATGCTTCAGAATGTGCAGCACATACCTGAACAGAGGCTTAGGGTAGAACACTTGCAGCTCTTGAAGTCTATTTCCAACAGTTTCATCTCCCAGAGGGTAGAGAAAGCTGAGAAGCTGAGTGCCTAGCTGATAATCCCAGGCCCTCGCACCAAGCTAACTCAGCTATGCACTCCGGCACGATCCCTGCCTACATGTGGATCTTGGCACCAAGCTTATCAGTCTGTGCCTGTGCACCCCAGCACGACTTCCATTAGATACTCAAGGACCCTTGGGTCAGTCTTGTCTACAGACCCCCAGTGCCAGGCCCACTGGCCTATACAGACTTTAGCACAGGCCCACTTGAGGAGCAACCTGCAGGCCCTGGCACCAGGCCAACCCAGATCTTTGAGCTGACTGCTGAAGAACTTTCTGTGCTTAAGCCAATCTGTAGAGACTGAAAGAGATAACTGCTTCTTTAAATGCATAGGTACAGGTACCAATGCAAAGTCATAAGTGATTTAGGGAAAAATGATCTCCCAACCTGACCTGGACAAGTTCGTGTTCTCTAAAAACAAAGAATGAATTTTAGGAACAAACAGAGGCTAAGAGTAGAATATTTATTGGGAAAGAAAGCTTCTGTCTCAGAGGGGACAGAAGGGGGGCCTGAGCAGGTTGCCCAGGAAGCGGTCTCTTTCAGGTTATTTTTATAGGACAAAATCACACGGGGCTAAGGAACTTGCTTAGGTGGACAAGAGGTGGGACAAAACTATGGTCAACCAATGGGATTATAAGCACCATTGCTCAGGTAAAATTGATTAAGTCCAGGACCAAATAGGGAAGTGAGTCACGTAGCAAGTGGGCATGAATATAGAACAGGATTTTATGGGGTAGCCATCCAGTAGTAGTCAGAGTAACGATGCTTCGGTCTCCCTCAGGGTGATGATCAATCTCAGATGCCAATCTTTAGGGAGGTCAGTATTGGTTTGATCTTTGGTCTTTAGGTCTGGCCCATGGCAGGGAGCATCTGTCCCTCCTACAGTTGTAAGATATCTTGTCTTCTGTGTTATCTCTTTTGAGGGTCTGGCTCTGCTTGACTGCCTAAAAATATTTCTATCTAACTTGGCTGCCTACAACATAAGGACAATGAGAAATCAGAGAAATGGGATGTCACCAGGAAACAAAACAAAGCTCTAATGACTCGTCCTAAAGAAATAGAAATCTATGTACTGCTTGACAAAGAATTCAAAATAATTGTTTTAAAGAAGCTAAGTGAACTATAAGGGAACACAGACAATTAAGCAAAGTCAGTTGTTTGAATACAATGAACACAATGAGAATCTTAATAAAGACACAGAAACCATAAAATAAAAACAGAAGCTAAAGAGCACAATGACTGAGCTGAACCATTCACTAGAGAGCTTTGGCAGTTGTCTCAATCTCGCAGATGAGAGAATCAGCAAGCCCAAAGCCAAGTCATTAGAAATTAGTCAGTCAGAGGAACAGAAAGAAGAGTAAAGGAAACTTGTGGAACTCATAGGACACCACAAGTATACCTTAATACTGGTAATGTGAGTTTCGGAAGAAGAGAAAAAGAAATGGACAGAAAAATATGGAAGCATAAATCTCCCTGGCAAAGATAAATATATATACACATGCAGAATCATGTAATACTAAAATGGTGGCACACTGAACACTTTTAATTATCATATAAAAATTAAAAGTTGAAGTATGAGGACTATAACAAAAATCAGTTAAAGGACACACAGTATAGAAAGAAGTAAAATTTGTTATTAATAGCATAAAATGTTGGAGGAAAAGTAGTATAGAGCATTTATGTGCAATTGACGTGACCAGCTTGAAATAGACTACTGTAAGGTAGCAGGACGAGTCCTACAAAATTACCATAGAGTAGAGTGTCTAGAGCTAGCAATATGGTATTGAATATCGAAAACTTTGCTTAGACGACAGACCTTAGAAATATTCTTATCACAAGATATGATGATGGCAAAAAGAATAAATATAACCAGAATAAATAGATGTGGAAGGAAATTTTTACTAGTGATGGACAGACTATGGCACAGATTGTGGTGATGGTCTTGTGAGTGTGTACTTATTTCCACACTCATCATGTTGTATATTTTAAATATGTATTGCTTTTTGTATGGCAACCACATCTCAATAAAGTGATTTAAAAAACATAAAAGCACACAATGAACAAAACAAAGAAAAGGGATCTTGGTTTGGGGGAACAAGAGAGTGTCCACTGTGGAGAAGCTGCTCACCTTCAGACACACCCAAGACTTCCGCATTGGCTGGGGTTGTGAGGGGCTGCGCCTTGGTGGCTAGAGAGCAGATGGCTAGAGTGAGGTGCTTCCTTTTGTTTTTCTATGTTCTTATTAGCACATGTCTCTAATACATAATGATCACAGCCACTGTGGTGAGCTGGTTCATGAATATAACATGTCTTATTTGTCCCTCTTTTTCTCTCATCTTTCCCTGCTTCCTCCAACTCTTGAGTTCTTCTTCTTCTTTTTTTTTTTTTTTTTCAGAACCAGGGACTGAATTCTGGCCTTTGCGCTCGCAAGGCAGGCGTTTATTCTATTGAGCTATCTCCCCGGCCCCCAACTCTTGAGTTCTTTCCATTTGAAAAATCTCTATTTCCATTTTTCTTCAATTCTATCTTTTTTAAAAAAATTTTTCCTACTCCTCATCCATCTCTTATTCATCTTCCCATTTGGAAAAGATCTTACTTCATATATCTATCCTTTACTTTGCTCTTTGTTCGTATTTTGGATTTCTCATATAAGAAAAACTTGTACTTGAACTTGAACATCTGGTTTATTCTCTGCCTATCACGGCCTTGAAGTGCGCCTAGTGACCTACAAATATCTCAAGTTTATCTTTCTTTATGGCAGAGTAGCCCTCCTTTGTGTGCAAATACCTCACTTTCTTTACTCATCTGTTGATGGATATAGAAACTGTTTCTGAGATTTAGTTATTATAAACTGTGTAGCTGTAAGCACAGATGTGCTTAGGAAGGCACAAGGGACGTGGAGCCTGATGATGGGTAGTGCACTGGGTGTGCGGCACAGCTGTCGGAGAAGATGCCGCCATCTCTGGCAAGGAGATGAGAGCCAGGATCAAGAGGCCCCAGAGGCTCCTTTCCTTCTCCTTCTTGGTGGGGGCACTGCAACAAGGCTGCAACATGCTGGCTTAAGGCCTTTTGGGAAGAATCCTGGAGAGGAATAGCTTCTTCAGAAGGTTTTTTTTTTTTTTTTTCAGAAGTCAGCTGAGGGGCCAGGGAGATAGCTCAGTAGAATAAG